GAAAACACAATCTAGCAAAACATTATATGTTTATGCTCTCTGTGTTTGAATGATTAAAAATTCCTAACTCACAGTTATCTTATATCCACCATTTTACGCCATTAATCAAATACAAAAAACTTGACATTTCCCAATGCTAAATGTTTTACAAGTAATTTGAAGACATTGTTTTCTTGCTCCAGTAACTCGTGATTGGCAATTTTCACTTGCAGATTACTTTTCTGTCCATCAACTACAAATAATGTGATTATCTAGTAACTGCACAAGGATTTTTTCTCGCAGAAATGCCTAACAACCCCCATTTCCCGCTTCTCATTTGTGATGATTTGCTGCTTTTCTTTGTCTTTAATGATCATAAATGGAACATCTTTTTGGTTGTGTAGGGTCAGACAACTACCTGGAAGTTAGGATGGTGAAATATTATCAGATATTTTAAAGATACACTGAACAGGATCTTCCTAAAAACAATGTATTGACTCAAACAGAAGTAATACCTCTCAATTATCATGTTACCCATTAGACATGTGGGGCAATGTATTTTTCTGCTGAGCCCTCTCCCTGCATTTTCTTATTTTCTTCTTATCTTCTTATTTTCTGTGATTGGGACATTTATATGTGTGTATCAGGTGAGGTTGAGGGCTCTATAAGAAGGCAGCAACCAGGTGCCAAACCATAAGCAGCAGGAAAGGGACACCATGCCAAAAAACACAAATATGAAATGCCAAAGGAATATGAGGTTAGCTTTTACTTTCACTTTCACTGGCAAGTGTGTTTACAAACAGTAAATGACAATCCTGCACAGCGTGCCTTTAATTTTTTATAGACAAATGGATAAATCAAGGAAATAATCAGCAGATTACTAAATAATGAAAATGACTTTTGGTTGAAGCTGCAGATAAATAGCAAAAAATATTGCATTAATCAGAATTTAATCATTATTTGTAACCACACACAGAGATGGCAACTGATATTGCCAGACTCCAGTGTGGATCGTTTATAAGTGTATTTTCCAAAATGGCAGATTGTTCCTTTTGCAGGAAAAAGTGTAGCACAAGAAAATCACAATCCACTGCGAGGAGACAACCCAAACCCTTGGCTCCCAGTGCCCAGCAGCAGTTGCTGTTTGCTGGTGTCTCTCAAGCAAGTGTGGATGTGTTATTGATATTTTCAGGCACCCAACAATACGGTGTCGATTTTAGTTCTTTTCTTTATGAAGTGTGCCTTTAGAGCTAGAAATACTTCTAAACCATGGAGGGGATGTGTACACTCGTCGCTGCCCCTTTACAACGTCCTACAAATAAATGTACCATCTCTTTTATGGTGAATGTCCTCTGTAAAATGGGCTTTTACAATCGCAGTGGTCTGTCGAACAGAAGGTCTCCTGGCTAGAAAGAGCTGTTTTTTTAGGAATAGAGAGCCCCAAAGTGCTTCATCATCCCCTCCCCCTGAAAACAAGGGAGTCAGACACTCCTACTCATCACATGCATCTCTGTTCTCTTTTCCTCACAGACACCTTCATTAGACGCATTGTGGCATCCCTCTTGTTCTTGCCCATTTACTTTTCTTTACCTTAGCCAACACACACACACACTCATACATATACACTCTGTTTCTCAGGCTGAAATGTATGAACACACACTCCCTTCTCTAGTCTATTCAGGCAAAGCTGTAATTGGGTATTTGTTGTGTTTGCAGCACTAGACCTCAGGGTTAGCTTAGCCACCTGTCCATGTGTTAATGGGCATTGTTCCCTCGCGTTACACATTTACATGCACATTACAACTTAGCTGACGTGAACAACTACCAGATTAAGGTTATTTAATTAAAGTTTTTCTGTGTTTTGCTTTAACTTTAATTCAATGCAGCTTGATGCTGATAATTGTTTTTTGAGATAATGACAGGCTGTACATTTTCTTTTGTCAGAAGCAACAAAAAAACACAGACATTTAAGGCTATGTTGGCTAATGGTAGTATGACGTCTTCGCCTAAATTATGACAATGATGGTGATTTTAAATTTGGGGAAAAAAATCTCTTAAAAAGCCATGCCCACAGCATTGGCTTTAGAAATGGCAAATGATCTGTCGGTCAACTTTAGACTGAAATATCCTTGTCATAGTCATAACTGTTGGATGTATTGCCATGGAATTTCATGGGTTAACATTGAGTGAATTGTCTTTAGAACTATGGGATGGATTAGGCTTGGGTGGTATCAAAGTGTTATGGTATACCAAGGTATTAAGAAGTCCTTAAGGTAGTATTTTCAATACCGTTAAATATCCAGATGCTCCTCTTTCTATAAACTGATTTGGAGAAGCTATATTAAGGTGATGTAGTGCAACATATGCACCACCAGAGGTCAGTCTCTACTGGTGGAACACGCAGCTGAGCTAAGAAAGATGATGACTGCGAGTGGCAGGGATAACGTTAGCGTTACAAGTAGGGTTGCAGAGATATACCGATTGTAAGGTATGCTGTGATATAAAGGTTGACGGTTATTACATTGTATACATTTGCTGATCTACGATATTGGAAAAAAATTAATTCCTTTAAGGGTCATTCTGACTGACAAAAATATGAATCCTATAATACTGTGTGAGACCATGAAACTGCAATATTTTCTGAGACGGTTATCGTACTGTGAAAATCTCATACCATTGCAACCCTTGTTACAAGTGAAAAGCAGACCAGCAATGGTAGAAAGAGACGGCACCGAAAACCGGCTTGTATAGCCAGAATTTTCTACATCTACCTTTTTTTAAATTAAGGATTTATTTCGACTAAACCGAACAACAACTTCTATCAACAGCAGCTCAGCTTTAATTATCGTCGATATTATATAGATACCACCCAAGCCTTGGATGGATTGCCATGAAATCTGTCACGGACATTCATGCCCCCCTCAAAACGAACTATAATAACTTATTTTTCATCTAGCATCATCATTCTGAATTTTAATTTGTCCAACACATTGATTTATGACCAGTACCTGCATACTGATGACTTTCCCAACAGCCTCAGCTGCACTTTGTTTAGTGCCAAATAGCAAATGTTATCATGTTGACATACTAACTAAGATGATAAACATTAATCCTGATAAATATCAGCATGTTAATATTGTCATGTGGAGCATTTTAGCATGCTGATATTAGCATTTAGTTCAGAGCGCTGCTGTCTATAAGGACAGTCTCTCAGAGCTGCTAGCACCACTCTTGGTGTTGTTGAATTGCGCTGCTTGTGCAGATCATTGCAGATCAGTGGTGCTGAATTTTAAAACTTTCACAGAGAGCTTGGAAGACATTTTAGGAAAACATCAGGGTTTGCATTTTTAAGGTAATCCAGTTAAGCTGTTTGTTTTGTTAATGTGGCCGTTGTGATAATCTTTGCATTTTGCTTTTAATCTTGTTATAATCAAATGTTTTAATGTGGAGTCCCTGATTAAGGGAGGTGGAGAAATGTGGTGATGAATTGAATGAAGAAGAACGGCAGAAAGGAATGAAAGGTGGGAGGAAGAGTTGCCCTGGAGGTAGGATTTAAATCATAGGAGATACAGTAGATTAATGAGAAATGTACTATGTGATGTGTTCAGCAATAGGTTAATCAATTCCCCTGGCACAGTCTTTTGTTATGAGATATGAATTTGGGTAATGAACCAGCGCTGACACATCACCACTCTTGTTTTTACACACCCACAAACACACACACACAGGCTCATGTGTTTTTGATCATTTTTTGGGCATGCATATGTGTGTTTTTAAGGAATTCATGCGCAACTCAAAGCAACTGCACCCACGGGTTTGTGCTCGCATTCAGTTGTCGAGTATCTCTGGGCGTTTTGACGTCAGTGTTCCTGGATGGAGCGCTGAAATGCTTCCTTGCCTAATTTGAAGTGTCACTTTGTGCCGTTTGGCATCACCATGGTACAGTGTATGCCCAGGAATTGTGACAGTGAAGCTGCAATCATCTGAAGGATTTGTTAACTGGCCATGAAGCACAAGCCCAGGATGGATCGGTCAGACTTAAATTTGTACAATCCAATTCACAAATCTGCAGGAAGCAGAACTGGACAAATGGGTTTTGATCGTCTGTACACGGTGAATGGATGATGTGCCGTGTGCAGAGAGCTTGCCACAACATATTTCACGCAGTCTTATACATGCACACGACAGAGCCGCACTGAAAACCAGAAAGAACCGGCCTGATCGCTGCCGTCACATCCCGGGGTCCCATCTCTTTCAGAGACGGAAGTACAAATCAACACAAGATACACATGAACTCAAATAACACACAGCTCACACACACACAAACACACACACACCTTTCCTCTCTTTATTTATTCCTCAGCTGTTCCGCTCTGTGTTTGTGCAATGCTCTTGTGGTTCTGGCTCATGTGTGTACTGGATCATGCTTACTCATGGCTCGGTGCAAGACTTGGCCTATTTGTACTATATTTTGTTCTCCGTCACTTGCCCGCTCACTGGGTGTGTTGTGCTTTTTTCATTTGGCTGTCTTAATGTTTGCTTTGCTGCTTGTATTGGATGTTGTGTACAGCACATCACATACACACACACTCATACTCATGCCTCACTTTCTCTTGGACATACACGCATCATGCAGGCTTAATATACACAGGAATTAATAAAATATTACCTCAAGGCTGTTTCATCAGCCGGTATTGCCAGAGCAAGAGCTCACGGTAGAGATTTAAAAGTAGAGTCTATTTCACAGTCCACGGACAGCACAGTCCACTTCACACAGTATTCACATAAATAGTTTTACCCCATACACTGGTTTGTATTAGTACAGATATGCATTTATCAGAGGCTAAAGGCACAACAATCACTCACTCAAATGCACCGTCTAAATCACTGTCTCCCCTGCTGCGGTCACTAACCATTTGCTGTTGCACTGGTGCTTGCTTTTTTTAACTCTTTAATTTTTTTTATTTTTTTCCTTTTCCTGTGTTCGTTGTAATCATGACCTCTCGCTGTTTTAATTTCAGATTTGCATATCCACTTCCACTCCTTCCTCATTTGCATACAGCAAGAATGGCGAGCGGGCATCCCACAGACAAATTCAGTTTCATGTATCAACCAGACACGCACAAGAGGTACGGGGCACGCATGCACACACACTCACACTCACACACACACTCACACACACTCACACACACACATGTACATAATTTCCCATGCCCATATTCTTCACGAGCAGGTAAGTTGGAGCGCTTGAGGTCTTTTTGTCTACACTGTGAGACCCCTGGAGACAGATTCCTTATGGGAGATGTAGTATAAACGGCGCTGCTACTGGTAACCTTCACCCCAGCCATGTTTAGTGGCCACTCCTCCGTTCAATCCAACAGTGGAAACCTGGCTGGTAGAGCTCGCCCTGCCTTGCTTGGTGCAGTAGTGAAAATAAGGCAGATGATTAGCTGTATTAAAAGCCAAACAGGAAACCAAAACCAGTATTTCAGTGGATCCATGCTTACTTGTGCTTTTTTGTCAGTACTTGTGCCTTATTTATTCCAAAAAGTCTGTGTTTTTAAATACATACTTAGGTTGAGCCTACTTGAGGGTGAGGATTCACAGGGATTGATTTTTTCTGTTGTTGTTGCATGCTGGCAAAATCCTTCAGCTGGATGTCGCCTTAAGAATCTGAGTTTGGGATTTATGTGCGTGATGAGTGTGTGCGTATGCTTGATATTCGTAACAATTTTCTTTCCAATTTACACGGCTTACGTCTCTCTCCTCCGTTTGTCTTCTGTCTTCTCTTATCCCCCCCTGCCCTCTCTGCCACACTGTCTTTTTCTCTCTCTTTCAGCAAGAACAGGTTATCTTCAGCTATGAATCCAGTCTACAGCCCTGTTCAGCCTGGCACCCCATATGGAAACCCTAAGAACATGGCCTTCACAGGTAAGACTAACACACGCATACACATTCAGTATAGCTGCTGAACAAGTGCCTGAAAAGTTCTGCTAATGGCCTCTTGATGTCCCAAAAGTTTTTAAAAGGACAGTTCGCCCCAAAATCAAAAATACATATTTTTCCTCTTACCCTTTGAGCTATTTATCAATCTAGCTTGTTCTGGTTTGAGTTGCTGAGTGTTGGAGATATCGACTGCAGAGATGTCGGCCTTCTCTCCAATATAATGGAACTAGATGGCACTTGGCTTGAGGTGCTCAAAGCACTAAAAACAACATTTGAAAAACTCAGCAGCAATGTCTCTTACTAGAAATCATGCACGGTTAATCAAGAGAATCCACAGGCTATGTTGTGAGCAGTTTCATAAATGAACTGTCAACCATATCACTGAGCAGACGGAAGTGTGCATCTACTCATGGAGAAGAGGCTAATCACAGCATGAGATGTAAACTTTACTGGCATCCTCCTTAGCTGAACTGTAACATTAGCTAGCTCAGTGGTGCTAGGTGAGCTAGCAGTATATGCATGTTCCTCTCTTTGTGGAGATATGGTTGACAGATGTACGCTAAAACAATCTAAATTGATAAACAGCAGCACAGGTAGAAGGAAAAATTTGTATTTTTGATTTTGGGGTGAACTGACCTCCAACCTCCAGCCTCGATCAGGGGACAGTTAAGACATTGTTGTGGAGTAGGGCCAGAGAAGTTCAGCACTGTACTGGAGTATAGGATGTGTTTCAAAAAAAAAAAAAAAATGTCCTTCATTGGTATCTGAACAACGAATTTACAGTTTGTAGAAACAGGTCATAAAAAGTTTTCAATAAACACCTAATGCCCAAAGTTTGTGACTCAGTTACAGTATGTATGCAGTAATGTAGCATCCACAGAGGTCGTGTATGACAGAAAAGTGATATAATACAAACTAGTAAAACTGTTTTGTAGGAGACGTTAACCTTTCTGGCATTTTTAGTACAAGGGGGGGGGTTGGTGCAGGATAGAAGGCGTTCGATAAGGGTAAAGAGAGGTAGGAGAAGAAGGAGAAGATAGTCACAAAGTGTTGACTGAAGTTCAGGATGTTAATAATCTCTCATTGAAGCAGCAGCAAGGAAGCAGAGTCGACACTCTTTGCAGAGCAGCAGTGTGGACCTGGACCATGACCCTAAAGATGGAGTTGTTCACATCATGTGGCCTTTAATTTAATACAAGCACAGGGTTTGAGTGCAGCAGGTGAAGAACATGTTGAGATAAACTATGAAGATAGAAGAAAACATTTCATGATAAAGCCAGAGCTAGTCGGGAGGAATGGGGTCATACGGTGATACATAATGTGAAAGAATAACAGTTCACTGTTTTCAAGTTAAACAGTGTGGCCAGACATGTTTTCGAGACAAAATCAGAGGAGCGAAAACTCCACAGAGCAGCTCCATATTTTGACATCCAAGTCAGCTGGCTAGATTCGTTACGGCGTACTATAATAAGCCACAAAAAGACGATTTCCTTCGTCTCTTGTGGCATCTTTTTAACCTGATGCAGAAGCGTGATGCTTGGATAATTTGGCCTGCTCCATGATGTCACTTCAGTTCCCTTCTCTCCATCGTTTTGAATCAGCCGTGGGGTTTTTATTTTCCATAACACAGTGCAGAATTTAAACTGCAGGTCGAAGGTGACTGCGGCAATGATGAATGTTTTTGTTCTGTATTCACCACAAGGTTGCACACAGATTTAAAAAGTAGATTTGATACAGTAAAATGAGAGCACTAGCGTAGCTTACACTTATGTGCTTCCACTCGTGTTTAGTTTACCTTTTCGTGTGAACTAAACACATGTGACAAAGTCTGAGGAGCAGCATGTTTGTCGGGGATTATTTCCTGGCAGAGACTTAATTTTTTTCCACATGAGCTTCAGTTAGTAAGCAGTTCATCTCATGTGTGTCCACTGATGCGAAAACACTCACCACAGGCACATTTAAATGATAAAACGGTTCGTGATTTTCCTATCTTCAGATCTGACTGATGGTACATGACCTTTTTAATATAGGTAAATGAGCCCTGGTTTATCTTAACTACACACTCACTGTGACCAGCAGACTTTGGGAATAATATAACAGAGGGCAGCTCTTGTTAAACATTATTGATTGTAGTTTTAATTTATATTCAAACAAATTCATTCGCAGTTTTATTTACAAGCTCACCTTCAGAGATAGGCTGTTATTACCTTAGGTTAGTCCTTAAGCTGGTCTCAATTTTGTAAACTGGGTCTTGGAGAAATAGACTCTGCTCAGATTCTGAGATGTTAAATGTTACTCAGGTCAACTTATGAGATAATTGTGAATTCATCTCTAATTAAAGGATGCAATGTCTGCAAGACGTGATTTAATTCATGCCATTAAGTATTGACATTTCTGTTGGTCAATGAGCAAATACAAATATTTGTGCTGGTAAGGAGCAGCAGTCACAATCGTGCCTCCCTTTAACTTAAGTATCAAGTATCAACTTAAACACCTTGTTAATCACAATAGTTCTGTGTGCTTTATAGGGATGTAACCACATCTGGTGTGTTATTGTATCATTTAATCCAAGGCTTTGAATCAGTGCATATGCTGAATTAAACAAGTCACCAGACATTTAGTTAAATCTTTCGAACCGTGCTGCAGCAGCTGCTGAGCTAATAAGTTTGCATTATTTTCCCGATTGAGAAACCACTCTAAATGAGTCAGACTCCACGTTAAAGACTCAGCTGTCTCATTCACAGGTCTAAAATATTATGCTTTAGGCTGCAACTAATGAGTGTCATGATCAAATAAACAGCTATATTGAATCCTTAGAATAAAGCAATTGATAAATTGTTTGCATTTATACAGTGTTAAAAAAATACATGTTGAAGTTCTGAGTCCAAGGTGTGTTCAAATTGCAAGTTTTGCCCAACCAACAGTCTTAAACGCTGAAGATATTCAAATTATTATTATATAAAACAGGAAAAAAGCAGCAAAATTTCAAATTGGAGAAGCTGTAATTGAGATGCGTTTGGAAACTTTGTTTGATAAATCACTCTTAGCAATTATTTTTGTTGTTGTTTTGTTTGTTGACTAATCGCTCATTCAGCCAGTATTTTCAGTGCTAATCATGCTTTTATGGATCTAAGTACTAAATTAAAAATGAAAATATAATGCATTTTTTTAAGGTGTTGTTGAAAATATCTACAATTATACATCGAATATAACCTGGGATTTTGTGAGTTGCTATACCTGTAACGCTTTCCTCTGTTGTCAGAAGGCGTCATCTTTTTTAGTTTTTATTTAGAGGTCAAATGTTTCTGCGTAATCTATAGTAAGCATGTATTAAACTGAGCTGAGCACCGGTTAGTTAACCATCACAGCCCTCTGTGCTGCTGCAGCATAGATTGATGCAGATATTTAATAAACCTGTTACATCTGTGGCTCAACCTACAACAGCAGACAGCAGCCAAAGCTAGATATAGCAGAGGCTCAGGGCTACAGAACAGATAGTCTGTGAGATTGACTGCCAATAATAGCAAGCAGCGAGCAGCACTTCGCTCACGTACATACGGTCTCTTAACTCTCCTCCTCCTCTCCCTCCCTCTTTGTCTCGCTCTGTCGAACTCGCACCTTTTTATCAGTGAAAGCTTTTTCTCAGGTCAAAATCTGCTTTGTTTGCTCGACGTGTAATTGATGACGCACAAGAGTGTGTGTGTGTGTGGTGTGTGCGTGCCCCCCCTTTGCACGTGTCTGCATGCATTGCTAATGCGTTTCTGAATTTATCTCCTCCCACACCATATTGGCAGGTGTGTCTCGTCTGTATGTAAGACGCATTCAGCCGACTGTGTGATTGGTGCAGACATTTTTTTTAATGAGCGCCATCTGTGCGCATCCCGCTCCAAACCAAATACTGCCCTACCTGTGTGTCGGTGTCTGTGTGTGTGTGAGAGAGACTCTTTGTTGTGTGCATCTGTGGCCCTCTCTGTTTGTTAAGCTATGGTTTCTGATATTTTCTCTCGTCTGTGATGACTTGCAGGGTATCCAGGAGGGTATCCTGCCACGGCTCCCACCTATACACCCAACCTCTATCAAACAGGCAGTCCTGGGTATCCACCAGGTGAGCCCTAACACACGCACACACACAGACACACACACATTTTACTGACTTTGTTAATATTTGTGAATATCTCAGGAGAAATTGCTGGCAGTTTACCTCAATTTTTTGGGTGTTAATTAGTGGGATGTTTCGGATACACACACCACAAAGATGACAGTGAGTGTAGATGATCCACTGAAGCTTTGTGTAAAGGATGTCACACAGACACAGCGATACATTCAGATAATTTCACATCATTGTCACATTTTTTATTATTAAACTTGGAGAATGTGTTTTAATCTGCCTGCCCTGTAATGTGTAGATATGATACTGTTGCCAATTTGTTTCTTTATTTGCACAATACAAAATACAAGCATGTAAAAACCATAGAGCAAAATTGAAAGTTGAGGGGTAAAGACAAAATCATAGTGTGAACAAATGTGCAGGCAGAGCCAAAAAGCTTAAACATCATATTTCATGAGGTAAACGACAATAACGCAACCATCAACTGTGCATATCTGACTCCACAGTACTATTACAGATGCTCTATCAAAATAAAACAGTCTGCAATAAAGCATTTCGTAACAGTTTTTAATAAACTCTGAAATAGTCAACAAAATTAGTAGGATTAAGTTTCAGATTTACCGCCTCAGAAGATGATTATTCCTTCTTTGGTAGCTGTGAATGGTGCCAAGTCTGCTGAAATAATAATTAAAAACAGATGTGTATTTTGTATAAACTGAACAGCCTTCACAAACCAATATTTGTGCCACCAATTTATCTTGCTTTTAGAAATATGTTTATGTTGCTGATGAGTAATCATGGCAATCATTCAGTTCACACTCTGGAAAGCCAGTTGAGTTATGTGTCGGGTAGAAATGAAAGTTAGTTTCTCCATCTTTCACGTTCCTCTGTCCAGCACCTAGTATTTATTGGCGGGATGTGTGTGCTTCTGTAAAACTTTTTGTAAGAAACAGAAGTTAGTTGGCGTTTAGGTTGAGGCTGGGAAAACACTTAATGTGTTGAATAAATTACACACTGATGGAATTTTAATTTCAAGTCAGATGATGTATTACTGCTGCTGCTCTACAGAGCTTCAATTAATCTATGTCGAACATGCATACGCAACCTAAAGCAAATATGGTTTCCCCACATCTTCAGTAATTGTCTGAGTTATTGTGATTATTATTTTGTCCTAATACTTAATTTATGGAGACTTCTAAAGGCAATAAGCAGACAGATACAGTGCCACCCTATCCCGGCCTTATACAGTTGGAAATCAACACAGCTATTACACAAACACACACCGCTATTTAAAAAATAAGAACTTATGATAGAGATAAAAACACACAGTTGCCATTATGCCAGTAGGTAAGTGCTATTATGTGTATCATCATCTCCATGTGATCATCTCCTGATCTCATTGCAAATTATACTTATAACAGTTGTGATCACAAGTTTTATTGTCAATGCCACTATCATCTCACACACCTCAGGGCCATGTCTTTCCTCTTTATGAGCTAGTCTGGTGTCACCAAGTTTTTTTCTCAGTTGGGGAAAGGTGAGTCATAAAAGGTTGCCATATCTTAATAACAATATTCCTGATAGATTATTGCAGATCCTTTCCATATCAAGCACACTAGTAAGTTCACAGAGCCAGCTTTTAAATACAGGTGCTGTGTCTTTGTTCCACAAGCACAGCGTGTTCCTTTTTTTGTAATTGCGATACTGTATTGTGATGCCCTTAGCTGCCAATGAGTTTTCAGTAATAAGCATTTTGTAATGAATCAAAAATTGATGTAACCCCACAATCACTGATGTGTCAAAATGTGTTTCATCTCGGTACACTTGAGCAAACAAGGTTGTCGAGAGCACTGCAGAGGTTGCAGTAATGTGAAGGCAGTATGGATTAAGTGGTGATCTCAGCCTAAAGGGCATTGATGGTGAAGGAGTGGGAAGCTAGCCAGTAACAGCTGCCAGTGGCCTTATAGCAGCAGATACGTGCTCTGCTGGGGCTTGGTGTCTGGTCCCCGTAGCAGATGGGAATAACAGTTGTCTCGGTGCTTCCCAGATATGGTGTATCTGTATAGATATAGATAGTTTAGTGTGGCGGGGTCTTGAACCTTTCAGTATGATCTCACTGGAGATCAAGCTTGTGTACAAAATGAAATAGGTCTAACACGTATTTAGTCGTGACTTCAACAAATAACATCCTGGTAGTCAGGAGTTGAGTTGAATAACTAGGGAAAAAGCTATGCCAGTATGTAAAAACTTAGGCCACAGACAAATTGTCACCTGTCTGTAGTGTCTCCAAAAATCCATTTATAGGAAGTACTTTTTTGACTGTACACTTATTCGCTTTATGTGAATTTGCATGAGGCAGGCATCGGATTTTAAGATCTTAAGTTATTAAGTTCGTTTTAATGTATACATACAGGTTTATACTAGGCTAACACCCAACTCAGAATTATGTCAGTTGAATCAGATTTGGTTATCTGATTGTTTGTCCCATTTTTTGCGTTACTGTTTGATCATTTGAACAGGAATTGGAGGGATTTTCAGGGTGACAGTGACGTACATGTAATCTGCCATTTTTAGTTACTTTATTCATCTTGATGTAGCAATTTTATTTTATTTTATCCTTTATTTTTCTATTGTTATTTTTTTTCTCTCTCTCTCTCTTTTATCTTATTCTATTTAATGTCTTTTTGTTTTTGTCTTGTGCTGCTGTGTTATTTGAATTTCCCCTCTGGGGGATCAGTAAAGTATATCTTATCTTATCTTCAGCCAAGTTAGCCCTCCAACTAATGTATGCTAATTATGATAACAACAGATCAGAAATATGCACCAACATTCTTGCCGACGCTAGATGTCAAACAAAAGCCAGAGATTTCATCATGTTAAGTTTCTGTGAGCTGTAAATTTGCCACATCTTGCCGGCACCAGAAAGCAGCATGAATGTGAGGAACGCTCACTCTGCAGCTAAAGATTAGGACTGAAACGTCCCCAGAAGTACACTACACATTGGCTGTCAGAAAAAAATCCCACTGCTGGACTTGAACAATGGCAGTTGACTGAGGGGTCTCTTGACTGATTATTTGAATGTTAGACTTTCAGGGAGGAGCCCTAGTTTATATATCGTCACAGAAACATCAGATACACAAGTCATAATAATAGAAACATGCAGTCAGCGAGACAAAAAAGGAAACCACTATAATATTGGCAGTTGCTAAGTCAATAAGATGTTTTTTCAGTATGATCTTGTAGAAAAGCAATAAAACTCATGACTTTAAAGATATTTGGGTGTTTCCATATAAAGGGATGGGATGGTAAATTGGTAATGAATGAAAAGAACAAAGTCCTTTGAAGAACTGGTGTAATATATAATCGATAGAAAGCTTGAAGTAGATTATCAGCTATAGGAAAACACATTTTGAAAACATTCAGATACAATTCTCTGAGCAGGGGTACAAATACCTTGCTACTTGAATTGTTTCCTGTCCTCCTGAATTTTAAGTACCTTACAGAGGCAGGATGGGTTTGTAGATTTCATCTGTGCTGCGTTTGAAGCCCCCCTGTCGTCCCCTCCCCCCCAGTTGGGCTTTATCTTTTGGAAGTCTAACAAAATATCAGGTATGCTTTGGCAAAGCTCGCCCAGTCTCATTCCAACAAAAGAACCTAATTACCGAGGCTGTTGTTTAAATCAGCAGTGGCGATGTTTAACTGCAAATGTTTTCCTGTGCATTCTGCCGTGCATGGATGTATGATGAAATCAAAGTCTGTGGGTTTTGTGTCCCAGACAACCATCAACCTCCAGACAAACCAGCTCTGCTCTGATTAGAAATGTGTCTTGGTCAATGTCATTATTTCCTAAGACCATTGAATAGACAAACTGTTTTCTATCAGCAGGGCTTTTGTGTAATTGTCACACACCATTGTCCTCTAATGCCCTGCATGCATGTGTGTGAGGGTATGCACACACACTTTTAGACACACATAGCAGCTCCAGCATCTCTTTGTTCCCTTGTCCTTGTGTGAGAGAAGCGCTTTCATAAGCTCTGCAGCAGCAACTAGCTAGTAGCATGTTTGACCTTCAGGCTCCTCCGAGTGGCGGCTCAGAGTTACTGCACCCCACAGAGCAGAGCCCCCGTGAACAGCAGACATTAATGCAGCGGTCTGAACCAGATGTCTTCACTGTCCTACAGTAGACCTCGTGCTTTTCAACCTTTTGATGTAATGTCAGTTAAATGGTGGTTAAATCATGTATGCACCACTAAGACTGGTAGGTTGCTTGAGTGTATGTGGTCCCTTAAAAGGTGAATGTACTCCATATACATCAACTATAGATCTATCTCTTTAACAGTAAACACTGCCAAAATTCTGTCTTCAAAGATCATGGTGAGCCCGGCTAAATGAGGCTTTTTGAGGCACACAAACACTTGGCTGTGTTGCTTTTAGACTTAAGCGCCATTAAAAGACGGCACTAGTCCCCCATCTGGTGGATTTTGTAGGAAATGCAAAGGACAAAATGTTTTAATCAGGCTGCAACTAATGATTTGTATTGTTTGGTCCATAGTACATCAGAAGACAGTGAAAAATGCATTTTAATTCCAGAAAGTAAATGTTGTAGAGGTCAAGGTGACAGCATCATATGTCTTATGAGTCTTAACTGATCAGCAACAATCCAAACACCCAACATATTCTATTTTGCTATAATGAAAGACAAGTAAAAGCAGCCTACAGTCCCAATTGAGAAGCTGGAACTCTCAAATGTTGGGTATTTTTGCTTGAAAAATTACTTAAACCATTAATAAATGATCAAAATGGTGGCAGATTAATCAGCTACGGTTGAAAGTTTAAATAAATTGATAAAAGAGGGATGTATAGAGACACACAGCTAATGTAAATGAGTTTAGCTTTTTGGTTTCTACTGGTCTGCATCCAATCCTGATGTTGTCATAAAACACATCTTCCTTGTACTTAAAGACAGCAAATGCCTACCACACACTAGCAGACTTTAAAAACACCAGCGTTGAAGAGACTGCACTTGTTGGTTGCTGACAGTGTTCATGTCATTGAACTTGAACATTTGCATGAGCAAAGACTAAAAGTTTTGTCATAGTAAATGTGATTTGATTTTATCAGAATTACAACACAAGAAGAAGACCGACTTAAGACAGCTAGGACTGAGGTTGAAGACCCAAACTCTCATGATTATATTTCAATATTGGAAGCTTGTCTGTAACTGTGAAATCGTCTGGAAAAATCATTTGCGTTAAACCCTGAATTGGAGCATTTAGATTATATGTTTTCATGGGTGTGTATTTATGACATTAAACTGATGTTCAGTTCAGAGTTGCTTTTTCAAATGGTGGTAACATGGTGAATTGTAATAACCTAAAGCTGCTTTCATCATATTTTTTTATTAACAATAGCTCGCATCACTACTTGTATGTGAGAGGGCTCGATTGTAGTGACAAACTCACTGAGAATTATCAGCCATCTCTCAGTGATAAGAAAATGATTTATAAAGTGGGTTACTCTAGTGTAATGTGTTCTAAATTTTTCTCTTTCTGTTTCTCTTTTTGTCTTCTGCCTGTTTTCAGGATATACTTCAGCAGGCACCCCGTACAAAGTGCCCCCCACTCAGTCAAATGGGGCGCCCCCTCCCTACACCCCGACTCCCACTCCATACCCGACAGCCATGTACCCCATCCGCAGTGCCTACCCTCAGCAGAACATATACGCACAGGTAAGGACGCTGAATTACAGTTACAGTCATACATTACCTTGGAGGCAGAGTCTGAACTCTGCGACTGAAAAATGTTTATCAGATTTGTCAGGTCGCACCTGTTTGGTTGACAGAGTCATTTAACTGAGTCACTTTAATGAAGTTGCGCCCATTGTATGTGATTAGGTGATTACAGTTTACAGCTTATTAGTAGAATTAGGTGAAACAGTTTTACAAATGTGACAGAAGCGGAACTCACAAATAAAATGGGGACCTAAAAGTCAATTTAGAGAAAAACCAAACCACAGAAAACCCTGGTGTTTGAGCAAATTACATTGACAGCAGATTAAAAAGCAGTGGCCTTGCTTGAGATACAGTTCTGCATGACAAGTCAACAAAGTCATCATTTTTTTCTTGTGTAATTTGGTCTTTTTAATGAATAAATGGATGTTTCTTATCCCTGCAGTAGAAAATGACTCGTACCTTCTCCTTAGACTTCCTTCAAATATAATTAACATTTAAATGCTATAAATAAGCTTTATATATCATACACAAACACACACCCTCAGCCTCACCACCCTGTCCTCTGTCCGCCCTGACAGGGGGCGTACTATACCCAGCCAGTGTATGCGGCTCAGCCACATGTGATCCATCACACCACCGTGGTGCAGCCTAACAGCATCCCCTCCACAGCCCTCTACCCTGCCCCTGTCCCTGTACCTGCCCCTCGCAACAACGGCATGGCTGCCATGGGGATGGTAGCTGGGACAACCATGGCCATGAGTGCAGGTAAGACCAGAACCACTGACATGACTCTCTGGCTAAAGACATTCACATCTTGACTATTCTCTGCTGTAATGTAATGTGTGATTAGAAATCATTTATTCATGCCAGAGGTGGTCTCTCACACTTGCACAGACATGTTTTTCTAATGTTGCTCACTGAATGTGTGTAAAAATGCTTCATTGAGAGTTCCCTTTCATGCTCTGCAGGGGTCAGGTCTGTATATCCTAAAACAGCAGTGTATAAATTGGACAGTAAATTTATTACTGAACAGAAAATCATCCGGCAGTGGTTTTGATCATTGATCAGTGGTAATTCTTTTTAATTTAATTAATTTCACATGTGACAGTTTGTAGGTTTTCTTCATCTAATGTGACAGTAAGGTGAATATGTTTTTAGTGTCGGTCTGCTGATAGAACAAAACAAGACATTTTAAGCTGTTATCATGGGCTTTGGTGACTTGTGAGTTTGTGCCATTTGTTTAAATTATGTAGCCCAAAATCAAATTATTATTTAACTTCTTGAAAAGCAAATTAATTGAGAAAATAATTGTTAGATTGATCAACAAAAGTAATGCTTAGTTGCAGCTATAGTTTGAATTGATTCTTACATTTATTTAGTTACTTAGTCGGCTTCCCTCAGGGTTAATTTTATATACAAGGCAGAGGTCACATTGACTAAAGTAATTCACACTCCTGTCCAGTTAGTGGCATATTAATTAGCGATTAGTCTTTTCTTATATCTCAGTCATATGACCTGGTCCTCTAGCTGGCTTTAGCCAAATGGGTTAATGTCATCTCTTCGCTTTAGCTGTTGTATTTGAAGGCTATATATATAATTGCATACCAATACAAAATATCACAGCAGCTGAGTGTCCAAAGTTTCTTTAAGAAGAACAATAATTGTGATGGCATCGATAACAAGGTGAAAAAAGCAGGGCCGGTCAGTTTTACATCTGCTCGCCTAGCACTAGCTCACACAGCAACAGAAGCTAACATCCAAAACAGACGCATTAAACAGTCTAAGGCCTCACTCACACTGACGCAGCAGTCTCATAGTAAAGAGAGCAAGAGCGGGCTAAGGATGGGTTGCGCGAATCAATAATAAAGCGAGCAGCTTTACATGAAATAAGATGATACCCATTTAAATAAGTAATTAAAGAAATCATGTTCATGGTCATTGTCATCACCACCAACACATCCATGACCGAAGTATCAAACATTCACTGTTGATAAATGTATCTGTGTTAAAAAAAAAATAGATAAAAAAAAGAGGGATTGATGCAGAGAAAGATGAAGGACAAGCAGCCGGTAATAGGCTACTGATAATGTTCATCAGCCAGCAGCAGCTAAAATTAAAATAAGGGGTAATAATAGGTGATGGTGCAGTTGTACGACCTGTCTGTCAAAATGACAGACAAGGAGAAAGCCTAATGTAACGTCTGTGTCAAGGGAGGTAGATACATGTTTGTTTGTTTGTTTGTTTGTTTTTTTATTTAGAGCTGTAAAATATAACAAAAAGCTGTCGACACATTGACGTGTTGATATAACATGAAAGTCATGTGCAATGATGGCAGCTATAGCAAAAAAAACCGAGCCTTTAAAGCTGTTCAGCAGATGGATTCAAAAACGGGTAAAGCTCATTAAGGGTGTTGTTAATTTCCTTTAGGGACCCTGCTGACAACGCCCCAGCACCCCCAGATTGGAGGACACCCAGTTACTGTGCCAACCTACAGGCCCCAAGGGACACCTGGGTACAGCTACGTACCGCCTCACTGGTAGAGCCCACCCATCATGTGAGTGTCTGCCCACCTGCTGTTAGCTTTCTCCTCTTTTAGATGTTTCTCACCACCCCATCTGTTTCCTCCACCCTCTTCCCTCCTCCTCCTCTCTTCCTTTTCACTCCCTTTTTTTGTCTCTCTCTGACTTGAACAAACTCTCTTGCCTCACATTTCTTTTCCCCTCTTTTCCTCGGAGCCTTAAATCCGTCACCAGTGTGTACTTCTGCTCTTCTTTCCCACCAGATCTGGAGTTCACCATCGTATGCAACTGCTCAAATCTTACACGGGCTCCCACTGGTAACCATGGGAACCCGGCACCTGTCTGCAAGAACAAAACTAAAGTGCAACAGCCACTTTACTATTATTGTTATTGTTAGTATGCGACATTCTCTAACGTTTTTACAAAAGCTGCTTTTATTTTTTTTTTTTTTTTTTTTTTTTTTTCTCTCTGTTCATTTGCCAACCAGTCATTACCTTATTTTGTATGGCTCTTTGATTTTTATTATTTGATTTCCTCATTTTTCTCTTGAAGTGTCTGTCATTGGAACTCCAGAAGGACTCTTGACCAATCACGGGTGTCAGTTGCTCCTGTTTCTGTGTTGTGCTGGTGTATGTGTGGTCCTTCCTGCTGCTGCTCAGTTGGCTGGAAAATATCGGGCACTTATTCCTCATCATCATCATCTCCGTCAGTCACTACAAAGACTTACTGACTTATGCTGCCAAATTTCTTACAACTAGATATCAGCACAGGGTTTTAACATAATTAGCGTTTTAATTTTTGCAGGTTTTTTTTTTTTTTTTTTTTTTT